GGGCGCGCCGAGCCCAGCTCAGTCTGGGGTCGGGCGGGCAGGTGGCAGGTGCTGGCTCTGAGCCTCAGTTTCCCCATCTGCGCAATGGCCCTGAACGGGCTGCAGTCTCCAGGGGTCCCAGTTCCTTGGGGGACGCCGGGGGCGGTGGCGCGTGATGTCTCCACGTCTCAGTCTCCCTCCCCCATAAAACGGACGTCATGCTTTGGACTGGCACGCCGCAGGTGCATCCCAGATGCTGGGCCCACCTCCGAAGGGGGGTGCCGCTCTGAGACTCTCACCCCCCCAGGTCCATCCTGAGCGGCCTCTTCCCCCCCAGCGGGGGCTCTGCCTTCGTCCTGGGCCACGACGTCCAGTCCGCCATGGCCGCTGTCCGGCCCCACCTGGGCATCTGTCCACAACACAACGTGCTGTTCGACATGTGCGTCCTGGCAGGCGGTGTGCACTGCGGCAGGGGAGGGTCGCCTGCACCTGCCCGCCACCGCGGTCACTCTGTCCCGCCCGGATCCCAGGCTGACCGTGGACGAGCACATCTGGTTCTACGGGCGCCTGAAGGGTCTGAGCACGGCCGCGGTCGGCCCTGAGCAGGACCGGCTGCTGCAGGATGTGGGGCTCGTGCCTAAGCGGCGTGTGCAGACACGCCACCTGTCTGGTGAGCACAGCCTGAGGGGTCACCGTCCCCTCCCGGGGCTGGGGGGGGCACGCTGAGACTGCCCTGTCCCTGCCCAGGCGGGATGCAGAGGAAGCTGTCGGTGGCCATCGCCTTTGTGGGAGGCTCCCGTGTGGTTATCCTGGACGAGCCCACGGCAGGCGTGGACCCTGCTTCCCGCCGTGGCATTTGGGAGCTGCTGCTCAAATACCGAGAAGGTCAGAGTTGGGGATGGCCTGAGGTTTACTGGATTCGGTGTGAGTGGCCCAAAGTGACTTCTGATGAGGTGCCAGGAGTGGGGTTTTGAGGGATGAATAGGAGTTTGCTGTGCAGAGCAGACAATTCCTGGCTTGGGCCAAGAGCCACTGGCCTGACAGCACCTGTGGGTTGGGTCCCCGCACCCAGGCCGCACACTGATCCTCTCCACCCATCACCTGGACGAGGCGGAGCTCCTGGGAGACCGGGTGGCGGTGGTGGCAGGTGGCCGCCTGCGCTGCTGTGGCTCTCCCATCTTCCTGCGCCGCCACCTGGGCTCTGGCTACTACCTGACGCTGGCGAAGGGTCCCCAGACCTGCGGCGGGAAGGTGAGAGCTGGTCTTCTCCCGACCCCGGCCCTGGAGCTCCGTCCAGCCTGACTGCCGAGCCACTGGGTGTCTGTCCCTCTGCCCGCAGGGCCACACGGACGTGGAGGACAGCGTGGATGCCGGGCAGGACGGGGAGGCTGGCGGGCAGGGCAGCGCAGCTGGTGAGGCGGGCGGGACCCCGGAGCCAGGACCGGGGGGCGGTGGCCTGATTCAGGACACGAGGGCTGACCTCAGGCTCCAGCCCCACTTTAGTCCGGCCTGACCCAGAGACAAGCGGCCCCTGACTCTGACCCTGGGAGACGCCTCACAGTCCCCCCTTCGCCAGGCCCTGAGTCCCCCTCCCGAGGTGCGGCTGAACTGCTGGCCCTGGTGCGGCGCTGGGTGCCCGGAGCGCGTCTGGCGGAGGAGCTGCCCCACGAGCTGGTGCTGGTGCTGCCCTACGCGGGCGCCCTGGACGGCAGCTTCGCCGAGCTCTTCCGCGAGCTGGACGGGCGGCTGGCAGGGCTGGGGCTGGCCGGCTATGGGATCTCTGACACCAGCCTGGAGGAGGTGGGGGGGCCTGGGGGTCAGGCGGGGCTGGGAGGGCTGCCCGGAGGAGGGGGCGTTTGGAAGGGCAAATAGGAGCTTGCTTCTCGCTCGACAGCAGGGGCTTTCCAGAGGGGAGTCGGGCCTGCAGTGGGGGGCTCCCTCCCAGGGCGCGTGT